TTATCAAGTATGTAATATAATCTTTTTTAGATACAACGTTTTTAAATGCTAAAAGTTAAGATGTATTTGCTTACTAAAATAAGCGACTGTTTTAAAAATACACACTAATATTTAACAGTTATTAATATCCCATTAAAAAGACCTAATCAATGTTTCTTAAACATTTTATTATGTTTACATTTTTATAAGCAAGCCTACAATTTATTCTAGCAAATGCAGTTGCAAATGTTATCCTTTTGCTTATGCGATGATGTCTGAATCTGAACGAAATTCAATGAAAATTTTATGGGCTATCTCCAAAATCCCTTTCCATTTTCTTGGAGTTTGTAGGTCAGTAAGACATTGTCTACTTTGCCAAAAGTAGCAGCGCTAATATATCTGGCAATAGACGTTTCTCGGAATACTCTCACCAGATTTCTTTTGTCTGGTGCAAAATGATCTGCAATTTCCTGTCTGAACTCACGGCAGCATTTGTCTGAGAGACCATTTATCTTCCATTTGTATTTTTTGCAATCATAGATCTCTGCTAATATAGGTACCAAATTGGCAAGATGTTCGTCAGTATTGAACTACAGGCTTGAAATCATTAATCTCTTTGGAGACTCTCCACTTCAACCTTGTAAAAATGAAAGTATTTAATCTCAAACTACAGAAAGATTAATACTGTGATGTAATGCGAATGTTATATCAGCCGTTTTGGTTATCTCGATTACATTGTTGCGATTACAGGGCGGGGCTCGGGAATTTTATTGGTCAACGACCTCTCGGCCAAAATCTAACTTTCTAACGAGATTAAAGTTTGTTACACTGCACGAGTGCAAAATGACGCGCAGTCGGAATGCAACCGCGGCCGGCGCCGAGCGGATAATTGCAACGGTCACAGCTAATCATTATATCCGATGCGAAATAACTAAAATGCCTACTTTGTCGAGATGCGTTTATATCTGGCCGTTTTTCTTTATCTACATTATCGTCTAGATAACCTCTGCCTTTAATGATGTTATCAAGATAATGAAGTGGCGATTGAAAAACATTTAAGCCACAATTGACCGTTAATGTCACTGATTCATTGAATCGTTTTACTGAACGTGTGCAATTATGTTCTTGCTGAGCTAGAGATCGCAAGGGCAGACGGGCTTTCACCGTCTTGTCTCGCGGATCGCGTGATGCGATTTGAAAATTGTTTCTGCTGCTTTTGAGTTAAGGTGGTATTTCGATTGTCCGCTGATCGCGTCCTAACTTTCTGCCGCTGTCGCGCGGAGGAGTTATTGATTTGGCTCTTAATATAACATGCCTTTGTACATTACGCTTTATGCTCTAGTGTCAGGGTCTATTTATGCTCGCTCATTCAGGTGNGACTTGGCCATCGCATGAAAACACGTGTAAATTAAATTATTTAGTGCGAAATGAAACGAAATTTTACATGCCTGTGTAGACATGCAAAATTTCAGCTCAATGGGAAAACGGGAAGTAAGTAAATTTTAAGTTGCAAGATTTTACAACTCCAGATGTCAAAGAAAATAAAAGCTTGTAGATAGCTTTACAAAGAAAAGAAAGATTTATGAAGAAAATAAAAAGTACTGTCTACGATACATTTGTTAGGCCGTGTTGCACCGTCTTACTTTAACATGGACATCAAAATTTTGGATGTCAAAAATCTGTCTAACATAAAACACCGGTTATTGTCAGTTATGGTCAAAGTTAGGTGGTGCATGTCAGCCTTAGTGTATTTTAATTAAATTTAATACAAGTAAGGATGACGAAAATAATCGATAAGTGATCTCACTCGAATATTTCTTATAGTAGGTATACAAGATGTCGAACAAATGGTTACTTATTGAAAAAGTGCTTCATGAGACCTAGCAAACGGCATCAATAACACAGGCCTGCAAAATGAGGGTCATAACTTCCTCTCTAGGATTTGATAGCTGATTCTAGGGTATTTTGGTGCGCTGATTACGAATATGTACTTAGTTTTTCTCCATCACCTCCAGATTTTTCAAAAAAGGTACAGATTGAAAATAGGAAATAAAATCACAAGTTTTTACATAAAAAAATATATCTTTAAAGAAGTACATTACTTTTAAATGAAAAAACTACTAAAACATAATAACAACTTATTACTAGTCTAAATTACATGTAAATTTTATTTGTGGAACCTGATCCTTTTTTCCTGGAAGCTTCGGTTGTGCGATTTTTGCTTAAATTTCCGGTTTGGATCATCGCGCTTCAATAACCAGCAATAGTCCGCCATCATGCTAGTATTCCATCTGCCTTGATACCGCACTTCAAGCTCTTTCAAATCTTGGTGAAATCTTTCGCCTTGTTCTTCGCTAACGGCTCCTAGATTTTTTGGGAAGTAATCAATGCGCGAATTAAGGAAATGAAGTTTAATGCTCATATTACAACCCATTACACCAAAAGTTGTAATCATTTTGGCCACTATTTCTTTACAGTCGGAGCATAGGCATATCTATAGCATAGGCGAAATGATTTTGAAGCAATTTTTCTGTCTTTTTGACCACTTGCGAAGTTCTAATAAAAAAGTCGTATTTTATGAGGAATCCAAGTTTTGTCTTGGTTACTTAAAACGTATCCAAAATAACTTTCGAAAATATTTTTTACAAAGTCTGTAATGCTGTTTCGTTGTTTTATCACCATAAATTTCCCGCAAATATTACAAAAACTATTCAGAGAATTTAAACAATGACATTTTAAAGTTTATGTTGCAAGATCCGCAGTTCAACTGTTAATTTTATAAATCAGTGCGGGTACTTATACAAAAACCCTTTGCTTTATCTTTATTACACCCTTTTCTAATAATATTTGCAACAATTAAGTAATATTACCTAATCATTATGTATGAATGAGCTCATTACTAAATTAAGCCAAAATACCCCTTTTTCGACATATTTCATGCGAATTACTAGTACTCATTATGTAGTAATTAACAAATTACTGATTTGCATTAACTTCTATGTCCCCTTACACTAAATACAATAAAAATTAAGCTGAAGTAATTTAATTTTAATGATGTTTTATAAATTTTAAAATGTAGGCGCTGAAACATTTTTGAGCAAAATCTTAAATATTCAATATAAAAAAATCCAGACGTGATGGATTTTTTTAATTATTTTTCTCGTAATCAGCACATCAGAAACTATAGAAAACGTTACTCAGATTTGAAAGAGGAAAACCATTGCAGACCTGTGTAATATGTTTAAGAACGAACTGAATCTATTCAAAAAACCTATATTTCCAGCTTTCATACATTTAATACAGTTACAAACAAACACGAAATCAATGGTTTCTGAGAATTCTGAGTGCCTTAATGCCGTCCCCTTTATCTGTTTATTTAGTATTTATTAATTAGTATCTCTTGATGATATTGTAGCAACTTAAACCTCAAATCATGTTTTCCGTAAATAATTTAAATAAGCATGCAATTTACGAGTTTGTTGTTTGATTATTATATATTACTCAATAAAAAAATTAAATTTAAAAAATTTACACTTCTAATATGGTAGGTATGGCTGGCGGCATACATTTAGTATGAAATTCGGAAACATTGAATTTTTGCATAGATCCAGTTTATTCTTTGACCTATTTATTGTTATTGTTTTAAAGAGCTCATGAAGCACTTACAGGAACAGTAAAATAAATTAAAAATACTTGCGGATCAAAAGTACTCAATCATACTACAATTTACGAAAAAATCACGCGTGACGCATATACGTCAGTGGGCAGTCAACTGACATAGACCCGGCGTCTACGAGTGCCAAAGCACGACTGATTTATGCCATTTGATGCACCCGATTTTATAGTATTTTCAAATTAATTTTTCATTTGAAGATTGAAGATAGATATTTTTTCTTTTTCACACAATAATAGTACTATGTTTCTTCTTAAGTATAAAGTAGTTTATGTTGCCAAATGACTTTTAGATTATGAGATGTGACCTGTTTTCTTGCAGTAATTTTCTCGAATTTTGACTATCTTAGACATGATAAAAATGCATTTTAATGAATTAAACATCAAAATTTTCTCAATACACTTTCTTCTTCAGGGTATGCTTATTCTAATGAATACATTCTATCTTCTTACTTAGAAATAAATTTGTTGTAATATTAGTTCAAAGTTGTGCCTACGCGAGTTACCTGGAAATCGGGCTTTCGAAATTCGCTGTTTTCGTAGGCAAAAATCCAATTTGAACGAGATTTTGTCAATAGACATTCCGTAAAAACGTATGATAATTACGATTATATAAGTCAAAAGAAGCTTTAACAATAAATTATATGATTAAAATCATTTCGAAATCTGCCAAATTCTCGATTTCTGCATGAAAAATGTGACAACGCTCTTAAGTTTCTTTTATCACTTCTTCTTCTTAGTATGTTTTTCCAAAGTAGTGGTAGGGCAAGCTATATTGGGCCATGTATAAGTTCTACCAGGCCTGTTCATCTCCGCGAGTTTACATCGAAAACAAAACACGCACGATGGCCCACCTACAGGATACTATTCGGCAAGGCCTCACATACGAGCGAACATTGACTCACGCACGCGTATTCTAGTGTATGATGGAAGAAAATAAAGTAAATGGTGTACTAAATACTGTGCAGTATTTATCTGCCTTAATAATAATAAACACACAGAATGTACTTTTTTAAGTTGCGTCAAGACACTGAGAGGTAAATAAGTAGTTAATATTATTCATGATAATTCATGCTAAATCATGTATTTTCTCCGCCATTTTCCGCAGTTTGGCACCTCACGTCACATCATTTTACCGAAGTCAGCCCTTACCTTCGGCGCAGTGCTGATCACTGACGTTTGTCAACAAAATGGTGCTTGACTTGAGACAGGCTAAATTACACCATATTGTTAATGGCATTGAGCATACATTTTTTTAAATACCTTCGCGAAGTAAAACTTCTGTACGTAGTACTTATTATTATTCTGTGGTTCTACATACTAATAAAGAATTTTAATTGTTTACCTGTGCCTGATACTGCTCTAGCAACAAATGCCCAGGGAAGTCCGGTTCCGGAGCGCGAGCGTACGCGTATATCAGATGATGTAGCGTCTTCAGTACTTCATGAAAAGAATTTCAACTGACCGATGGTATCAACTAGCTAGCCTATTAAGTTTCTTTCATCACTTCTTCTTCTTAGTATAGTAGTAAGTTCTACCACAGAATATTAATAAGTACTACGTACAGAAGTTTTACTTCGCGAAGGTATTTAAAAAAATGTATGCTCAATGTCATTAACAATATGGTGTAATTTAGCCTGTCTCAAGAGTCAAGCACCATTTTGTTGACAAACGTCAGTGATCGGCACTGCGCCGAAGCTATAGGGCTGACTTCGGTAAAATGATGTGACGTGAGGTGCCAAACTGCGGAAAATGGCGGAGGAAATACATGATTTAGCATGAATTATCATGAATAATATTAACTACTTATTTACCTCTTAGTGTCTTGAGGCAACTTAAAAAAGTACATTCTGTGTTTTTATTATTATTTAGGCAGTTAAATACTGCACACTATTTAGTACACCATTTTCTTTATTTTCTTCCATCATACACAAGAATACGCGTGCGTGAGTCAATGTTCGCTCGTATGTGAGGCCTTGCCGAATAGTATCCTGTAGGTGGGCCATCGTGCGTGTTTTGTTTTCGATGTAAACTCGCGGAGATGAACAGGCCTGGTTCTACATACTAATAAAGAATTTTAATTGTTTACCTGTGCCTGATACTGCTCTAACAACAAATGCCCAGGGAAGTCCGGTTCCGGAGCGCGAGCGTACGCGTGTATCAGATGATGAAGCGTCTTCAGGCCGCATAGTCGCAACGCGTCCGATTCGCCCGTAGCGCCAACGAAGGACATGCGAACCAACTCTGATAGATGCACTGAGAGGTAGTCTCCTGAAAAAAAGATAAAAAAGGTTTATTTTCTGCAAAATGCTTTTTTAAAATAAAATAGAAAAAATATTTCATTGACATAAAAAAAACGAAAAATAATAAAAATACAAGAGGCTCCTTTTGTTTGTGCCAAAAAAGACACCCACTCAGTATATCCTGCTAGATAAGTGCGTGGCTAAATATTGATTTTACAAATCGTTAGAGATATTACATTATGAGGTCATCATCATCATCATCAACAGCCCTTTTCAGTCCACTGCTGGACTATGAGCCTCCTCCACTATAGTGGAGGGTTTTGCCATAATCCCCACGCTTGGCAGGCGGGTTGGAGATCGCAGTTTAAAAGATTTATGTTTGTCAGAGAGCGCTGCTGCCCGTTCTCTGTTTGATGTGGGTCTGTTTTATGAGGTCAACGACGGGTTTATTATTCGTAAGCTCAGCTGTCGTCAGCGTAGGAGGAAATCAGCCTTAATCTGCACATCTTTAATGAAATCATAGACGTCATCATCATCATCATCATTTCAGCCATCGGACGTCCACTGCTGAACATAGGCCTCCCCCAATGCTTTCCATGTTGATCGATTGGTAGCGGTATGCGTGCAGGGAAGCCCTGCTACCTTTACGATGTCGTCGGTCCACCTTGTAGGTGGACATCACACGCTGCGTTTACCGGTACGCGGCCTCCATTCCAGAACCTTTCTGCCCCATCGGCCGTCAGTTCTGCGTACTGTGTGCCCTGCCCATTGCCATCATAGACGTAATGGATTACAAATATTAATATTCAATGTAACATACCGTTTGGATTAGTTTGTAGTTTCTCTTTAGCTTTGACAAGGTCAAAGTGCGCGCTTTCACCGGTGGCTTCGCACGCGCTCAGTATCTTCTGGATGCATTCCATAGCAAACACCTACGAAAATAAATGATATCGGAATTAATCTTATCGGATAATACGCCCTTACAAGTGCAAATTATGGCATTTTTAAATAAACAACTTGAAAAAATCGAACTGCCTAAGGCGGGACATAATTATGGCATTATTCACTATTCAGTTATAATAAATAAGATCAATTATCTGTAAACTGTACACAAACTATCACTAAGCAGACACTTAACTCAGCATTCGATTCAAAGTCAAGCATAGATTGAGGCCTATTAGATCGGTTAAATGCGAATATTTAGACTAATTACAGGACAGAATCTATAAGATTGAATTTGAATATTGAGCGTTATTTTGCAACACACCCTAACGATGAAGATATTGAATCTGAGTTTCGAGCACTGTGTAATATGGACCTTAAGATTGAGGGCTGAAGGTCGAACTTACCCTGGTAGGCCAGCGGGACTGCACAGCAGGGTGGGTGCTTTGGTCGGAGTCCGCGTGGAACTCCGCTTGGTCGTCGTCGCCTTCTGCTTCTAAGTCCGTGTCTGGATTGTTGCTGTCCTCTGCAGAAAATGTATTCAATAAGTATTGTTACAAAAGAATATGGATATGAAGAAAGAAAAGAAGGCAATTAAGTAGATCCGATATATCACTAATATGTAAACGGGGATGTGCTAGAGCGGGAGCACTGCATCTACCATCGTTTAATGCATACGACTAGTACGGCCAGTCCTTTAATTATCTTAGCAACTTTACCTATAAGTTTAAGACAAATAAAACATGAACACCTAATCCTAATTTAGCATATTTAATATTGTGTCAAGAAAACGAGTGAGGTTATAAGGTAAGTTTTTTTCATTAAAGAATCATACAGCAAAGTGCACCAATATTAACTTAAAAAGACAATGCCGGAAATTGGCGCCTTTTAAATCTAGTATGTAAAATCATCAAACATCTAACGCTCGTAACTCAGTTCAGACTGAGTTTAGAGGTATACATGTCATAGTAAGTTTAGTTTATTACACTATTTTGTAATATAAAAACAAGGTTTGGTCGATGGCCGTCCGAAAAAAAAGGCGCCACCTTCCATACAAAATCTGGCATTGCCATTTTAAGCTTTATTTATACACTCACCCCTAGTGACAGTGAGCACACGCTTGCACAGCGCGAGCCAGTCTTTCAGCCCGCGCTGCGCAGCCGCCGCCAGCAGACAGCATGTCAGCGTGTCTTTAGCGTACGACAGCGCTGTACTATCCCTCTCCATGTCGAGGAACGAGAATAGATACATGTCTCTATTACATTACTCACCCCTAGTGACAGTGAGCACACGTTTGCACAGCGCGAGCCAGTCTTTCAGTCCGCGCTGCGCAGCCGCCGCCAGCAGACAGCATGTCAGCGTGTCTTTAGCGTACGACAGCGCTGTACTATCCCTCTCCATGTCGAGGAACGAGAATAGATACATGTCTCTATTACATTACTCACCCCTAGTGACAGTGAGCACACGTTTGCACAGCGCGAGCCAGTCTTTCAGTCCGCGCTGCGCAGCCGCCGCCAGCAGACAGCATGTCAGCGTGTCTTTAGCGTACGACAGCGCTGTACTATCCCTCTCCATGTCGAGGAACGAGAATAGATACATGTCTCTATTACATTACTCACCCCTAGTGACAGTGAGCACACGTTTGCACAGCGCGAGCCAGTCTTTCAGTCCGCGCTGCGCAGCCGCCGCCAGCAGACAGCATGTCAGCGTGTCTTTAGCGTACGACAGCGCTGTACTATCCCTCTCCATGTCGAGGAACGAGAATAGATACATGTCTCTATTACATTACTCACCCCTAGTGACAGTGAGCACACGCTTGCACAGCGCGAGCCAGTCTTTCAGCCCGCGCTGCGCAGCCGCCGCCAGCAGACAGCATGTCAGCGTGTCTTTAGCGTACGACAGCGCTGTACTATCCCTCTCCATGTCGAGGAACGAGAATAGATACATGTCTCTATTACATTACTCACCCCTAGTGACAGTGAGCACACGCTTGCACAGCGCGAGCCAGTCTTTCAGCCCGCGCTGCGCAGCCGCCGCCAGCAGACAGCATGTCAGCGTGTCTTTAGCGTACGACAGCGCTGTACTATCCCTCTCCATGTCGAGGAACGAGAATAGATACATGTCTCTATTACATTACTCACCCCTAGTGACAGTGAGCACACGCTTGCACAGCGCGAGCCAGTCTTTCAGCCCGCGCTGCGCAGCCGCCGCCAGCAGACAGCATGTCAGCGTGTCTTTAGCGTACGACAGCGCTGTACTATCCCTCTCCATGTCGAGGAACGAGAATAGATACATGTCTCTATTACATTACTCACCCCTAGTGACAGTGAGCACACGCTTGCACAGCGCGAGCCAGTCTTTCAGCCCGCGCTGCGCAGCCGCCGCCAGCAGACAGCATGTCAGCGTGTCTTTAGCGTACGACAGCGCTGTACTATCCCTCTCCATGTCGAGGAACGAGAATAGATACATGTCTCTATTACATTACTCACCCCTAGTGACAGTGAGCACACGTTTGCACAGCGCGAGCCAGTCTTTCAGCCCGCGCTGCGCAGCCGCCGCCAGCAGACAGCATGTCAGCGTGTCTTTAGCGTAAGAGAGAGCAGTGCTGTCTCTTTCCATATCGAGGAACGAGAATAGAGCGCCGGGAAGACCTGTTTCTGTTATCACTACACCTGAAAGAACGAAAAGGATCAAATTAGAGAGCTTTGGACCAATCTGTAAGGTCATTTGCAAAATAAAGTAAATAAATAAAAAAATCAGACAACGCCAGATCGGCACTGGCGAAGTTCTATTAGCCTAGGCGCAGACCACCGATTTTTAGTTGGCCGATAGTTGGGTCGGGCTGTTGATCAGTATGGAGATGTATGAAAGTGCGCACATTACACCGATTTGGTATCGACCGATTCTTTATACAAATTAGAATCGGGCCCAACTCTCGGCCAACTAAAAGTCGGTGATCTGCGCCTAGGCAAACTCTACCATCGCAGTGACGAGTGACGTCAACTAGTTGACGCATAATTCGATAAGTCCTTCTAGTAAGAGTATGATCCTTCTATGGTGTTTGCGTTCACTAGTTGTCGCCACTGTCTTTAGTCAATAGAAAGTGACAGGAGGTCCTTACTCACTAGTGGTGTAGTAAATAAAACCCCTATTGAGAACTGAGACACATGCACTTTCAAAAAACTTCTAAAGCAAAGTGGTGATTATAGGTTTCATTTCTAAGTCGAACATTTACAAACTGAAATGAAAGTTACAAGTAAAAAGTGAGCGTGAAAGTTATTAATTAAGGACACGCAAGTGTTTGTTCTTTATTCATTTTAACCACGCAAATCAATTTTCTTTTTCAATTCTCTTACATCTTTTGCGCACATAATAAAATACTTTTTTTGATAAATGCTGGGGAGTACTTTCTGCATACTTGGAACCGGTATCACATAAGTTCTTTATTGAAAAAATCTAAAATATGTCTCGGTACCAATTAAAAACCTAAAATTACATTATCTTAGCCAAGAATTAAACCAGGAGATTTAGAGAAAAAATAAACACTATGCCAGGAACTACATAGAACACAATTAAGCTCACCACAATAAGGCCTCGCCGGCACGTGGTCCTTAGCCAACAGTGCATATTTGCACACCTCCGTGGCTTCCTTTTGCGATAATTGCCGTAGACAACATAACGCGGCGCGGCGCACTGCTAGCTCGGAGCTTGATAGGTCGCGCTGAAACATGAAATACAGAACTTTGAGACATCCCGCAGAATACATACTTTTGGTCGACCGATAGATTGGTCGGGCTGTTATTAGTATGAACATGACATGGAAGTCAGTATATTACATTGATTTGGTTATCGGCCGATTCCTCATATAAATTGGAAGCGAATTACTAAAAGTCTGCGGGAAGTCGTTAAACTTTTGTGTCCCGCAGAATTGGCAAACCGAATAGGGGGGCACCAAGCTCGTAGTGGGCGTTGGATGGCAGAAGAGTTCTTGAGTCGCGAGTTCGGATCAGATAACATGGTGCAAGCAGGCCTCCCACTTGTTGACGGATGATCTGGTGAAAGTAGTGAGAAGCATCCGGGCAGCGCAGGACCAGTTTTTGTGGAAATCCGTCTTTGTCCAGCAGTGGACGTCATTTGGCTGAAACGAACGAATCGTCAGGCAACGGTATGTATAAAATTGGCAACACTATGTATAAAATTGAGATTATTTTTAGACAATAGAGAGATTACAAAGTCCTAAACTCCTGGCTACATACACACAGCTGCGGCACCAGCGGTTACGAGCTGATGTGTTCAGGCGCGAACATCTGCAGCTGCTACAGGCAGCCCACTGTATGTATTAATTTGAAGTTGTTTCTAATTAATCCAAGGGAAAGTCCTAAAGAGAGCCGTCGCCGACGTCCAGGACACTGCAGGAGACACTACCATCTCCATGCCCCTTCTTAAGGGTCCTCGGCCACTAGACACGGGGGTGTTTGGTGGCCGCTAAAGGAGGACCCGTGGCGGCGGCGCGCGTATGTGTTCACGCGCATCGTTAGCGAAGAACAGGGGAGGTAATACTCCATTGAAGCCAGTCGTCGCTTGCTAAGACCAACAGAGCGAGCCACAGTCTGGGGCGGAGCCGCGAAAGAATGTCTAGGCCGTCTAGCTCGGACAATAACTCGCAGCTTCGTCCCAAAGACTTCGGGAGGACACCGCACAGTATGTTATGAGACTGTATAATCGGACATTCTCATTTATTTGATGAACCGTATAGAGCTCAGCTAGTTTAAAGTTGATTTTATTAATACAATTAGATTAAATATCAGACTATATCTTGCAATTAAAAATGTTTGCATATATTAAGGTATAATTGAGAAAAAAAATAAAAACAAAAATCACTAAAATCATTTTTCCTAATTAACTGTATGCGTTTACGAAGCACTTAATACGCTTATTACTTGTAGTTTTAAGAGCTCTATGAAGTATTATAACAATTCTGAATTAAATGTTATTAGTTAACGAGTGAGAATATTTTTGCATAATTTTCAAGTAAAAAAATAGGTAACTTTGAATTTTTATACCGCGAAAACTACGTGGAATTTTCAAACGGGAGTTTTACTGTCATGTTTGTATAACTGAGCTCTATACGTTTCATCAAATCAATGAGAATGTCCGATTATACAGTCCCATAACACACTGTGCACCGTCAGGTTTTAGTGAGTAGGCCCTGCCCATGTGGCAGGGAAAGCCTCACATAACGTGGCCCGGGGGAACCAGTGGGTATGCATTTCCTGACAAAAAAAAAGAAAAAAAGGGAAAGTCGTAAACTCCTGTCTACATACACACAACTGCGGCACCAGCGGCTGCGAACTAATGTGTTCTGGCGCGAACATCTGCAGCTGTTGTAAGCAGCCCACGGCTTCAGCGCGCGCGCCGCCGCCGCCGCCCCACGCGCCCGCGCATTCGCCGAGCGCTGCGCACGCGCACACAAAGCGGCTCACTGCGCACACTGGAAACAAATTATGATATTAAAACACATTTTAGGGTCGAGCCTAAGCGAAAAATTGCGCGGCCGTGCTCTCGCCTAGAGCGGCGCATACTAAGCGACACTGCGCACACTAGAAACAAATGATGATATTAATGTGCGGGCATGGATTTGTGCCACGCTGCCACCGCGACTGTGGGACTGGCGCCCGCAGTGTGTGCGAGCGCGACAGCAACATAATTACGCGCGAACGATAAGGATGGGTAGCTTGGGGTCATTGGATAAAATTCTACGTGCTCACGGACCGGGCTTTAGTAGCAGCCACTAACGTACTATCGGGGACTCTTCCGCCTGACCACTTTGTAGAAATTTTAGCGTAAGCGCATCGCTCCGGTCACGTGCTCACCCCGTCTCTAATTGGTTACGCATTTTACTATATTTTTACTACGACCAATAAGAGACAATCAGGGCTTAGGTTGCAATACGAAATACCATTGTGCACTTTATTGTCATACGGTTAAGGTTTAAAACGAAATGTTTCTTTTTCTTCAAGCTTTCTTAATTTTAAACTGAGTTGCACCACCTAACTTTGACCGTAGCTATAACGGTAACCGGTGCTTTTTGTATGGAGTTTAACAGATTTTTGACGTTTTTCAAAGTTAAAGTAAGATGGTGCAACTCAGCTTTAGAATTTTAATAATAGAATTTGGTTACAAACAAATAGATAATTTATGTATTTTTTTAATATTGTATTTTTATACGAGGTCTGTCTGCTTTTTGCTTTGGCGAACTGTCGACATATTCTCTCCTTTGTTTTTTGTGAAGTTTTGTGATCCCTAACCGATTGATTTTGTTTTGTGTTGACCCGTGCTAGTAATTGGACTGTTTGATTGCCTTTTTATTGACCTCCGCTATTTCCTAATTAATTCAATAACATATAGTTTATAAATTATAAGTTCCGAATAAATTAAATACCTATTAAACAAGTAAAATTCGAAAGTGACTGTATGATTTTGCATTTCTCGCCTTAACTAGCTAAACTAATATCATGAGATTTACAATCTTAATATCAACAATAATTATAGAAAGGGCTACTTTTTTCTCAGGAAATTGCACAGTTACCTCGGAATGTGCGATAGCAATTTTGTGACCCGAGCGGGCAATCGCTAGTTCAATTTTTACACGAAGCCCCATATAATATTTTGTAGCGATTCTTTATTGGGTTTCAAAGGACAATGACCAAAAGTGGTCCAAATGTCCACCACCAATGAGACCTATATTGGCTTATAGTCCATTAAATAGAGATTAACTTTCAGTATTGGACGAAAAAAAAATAAGCTGTCAGTAAAAAGTTATGACTGTATTGAAAATTATAGTTGTTTACGCGCTAATCTCTGGAACTACTGGTCCGATTTGAAAAATTATTTTTGCTATGGATAGCCCATTTATCAAGGATGGGTTTAGGTTATATAACTTCACCCTACAACCAATAGGGGCGGAGCAGTAAAGACAAATGTTGTAAAAATGGGAAATATTATTCAAACTATTTTCACGCGTACAAAGTCGTAGGCACAGCTAGTATAATATTTAGGCCAGTAGAATTGAACACAAAAATTGATTAAATCGGAAATAATTCCTACAAAAGATTTTTTTGCTTTAATGGCTTCATTGGTTGCCCATTAAGACTCTCTTAGTTTTCGACTTCGAGAGAGTTGTGCTTAAGTGGTGGGGGCCCCCGAAAGGGGCGTTTTTTCGGTTTTCCGGTAATACCGCGTAAAGGATTTCCCCTATCGAAAAGTGGTCTTCATAACGGTTAAAGGGCACTTAATCCTGCATTGAATAAGACCAAATTCATATGTTTTGGACAAACCGTTCTCGCGCTAAAGTTCGGCAAAGTAGAAAATATACGTATAATTAATGACCCTCTCCACGTCCAATGGCTTGTTACCTACATGCTTCCAAGCCTTGTAAAGGGTCGCCTTAACCAGTGTAACCCTAACAAGGCNGCTAATTCTACTGGACTAATTATACTATAATTCATCTATAACCAACATTAAACCAGTTGGAAATAAGACTATTTTTACCCCTTTCGCATTATTCCAAGTATTCCAATATTGTTGTCTTTCTTCTGGGGCCGTTCAAGTATTACGTAAGCACCAAGGGGGGGTGGGGGGGTCTCTGTTTTGCTTATTTTGATGACATGGGGGGGTAGGGGGGTCTAGATGATGATTACGTCATCGTTAGTTATTTACGTTTTTTCGGGGATTCCCGCATATAATACATATGCGTAGGCACTCGCTTTGAGAACTGATTAGGGGAATTACCGCACATTAGGGAAATTACCGTGCGCTATTCACTTGTCTAATAATTAACTCTCGTGCCGACATTGCCCATTGAAAGGATGATGGGCACTTTTCTATGGAATCTGGGCGTAAAACCAACAGAAATGTAACAACTATTATTTGTTAGGACTTAGTATCAGAAATATATTTTCATATAAATAACTACCAAAAACTCCCGGGTTTGCTTGGAAATTGACATAATGTGTAATAGTAATAGGTGCTTTATTGCGCAAACAAAAAATATTATTAATTAATATATATCTACATTTATACATTAAGTTATTTATCAATTATTATGTCCAACAGTTCAGGAGTGGGGCCAACAAAATGGTATATAATATACCATGTTCTACATTATGGGCGTAGGACCATATATACCTAGGTACCATTTAGAGAAATGACATGAACACAGTCATATTTCAATGGGATTTCTACCATTTAAGTTGTAGTGTTGTCGCTTAATCGATCACGGATCGATTAATAATCGATACTGCCACATAATGATTTATCAATTAACAATTGGATTAATCGATTTTATTGATCATCATCACTATCATTTGATTGTTAATTCGATTCCTTATTTTCAGCAATGTAATCGATTATTGCAATCGAATAATCGATTATGATTTATTCGGTATTACATACTTACTAAATCGATAGAATCGATAGTAAGATATGATACAATACTCTCAATATGATCGATACAAGCAATCTAATTAACCTAATACTATTTTATTACCCTAATGTGATGTGAAATACTATGGAAACTTTGCATATTCAACGACCTCTATCTCCGTATCCCCGCGCATTTCAGGATTGTTGTCATACTATGAAATGAAGTACTAGTTTTAAGCTTTAATTTAGTATACTTTTTGTTTCTGTTGGTTTAACGCCCAATATGCTCATCATCCTTTGAGAGTCGTAGTCCGCATAAAATATTATACGCGAGGCTGGCCTCCCGCGCGCGTGTTTTGTTTGGATACTAAACGTATTGTAAGCATTGAAAGTTATCATTTGTGTTTATGTTGATGCATAATTGATGCAATTATGTTTGTTAATGTTCTTTTTTTCTGATTATATTTTTTTGTTCCTACTCTCTGTGTATCAGTTAAACCTAATATTTTCATGAATTTTCCTATTTTAAAAATGACAATATAAAAAACATTTATAACAAAATGTTTACTTTTTCGATTATGGTTAAAGTACCTAATAATGTGCTCACAGTTTTTATTGAACTTCGAAGGTTCTGAGCTCCAAGGGCGTTTAGTAGGCATGGAACATTTCATGAATAGCAGGTGAAAAATCATATGAAATGAATTTCATTAATCACACCTGCTATTTTACTTCACATATGTAGACTGCTATAATTTCACAGTCAACGAAATCACGAATCACATGAATTTCATTCATTCATTCGAGCGAAGTTCGTGAGCGCAGCTCTGCGAAGCGACCGAGCGAGTAAGAAGGAATGATTTGATCATGTGCGTGTTAGAAAAGGACAAGAGATGTGATGACGGACGAAACTGGTCATTTTAAATATGAACTTTAAACTCAAAGGTGTAAGGTTTAGATTTCCTTGTCATAATTCGTGTGATTTCATTAGATAGCAGGCAGATGAAATGAATGATTTTCATTAGTCGCGCGGTTATTAATGTGCTGTGAAACTGTTTGATTTTTGTTGTGCGACATAAATGAAACAGATATTGTTACATTTCATATTTTAGCTAATTAGCAATCCTTCATCATAGCTAATTCATACTTCATTAAAAGTAGCACATTATATGAAAGAGCTACATTAAAACACTGCGAATAAAAATCATTGCCTGTGAAATTTCGCATGTGAAATCATATGAAAAAAAATCATCATTGATGCATAATTGATGCAATTATGTTTGTTAATGTTCTTTTTTTCTGATTATATTTTTTTGTTCCTACTCTCTGTGTATCAGTTAAACCTAATATTTTCATGAATTTTCCTATTTTAAAAATGACAATATAAAAAACATTTATAACAAAATGTTTACTTTTTCGATTATGGTTAAAGTACCTAATAATGTGCTCACAGTTTTTATTGAACTTCGAAGGTTCTGAGCTCCAAGGGCGTTTAGTAGGCATGGAACATTTCATGAATAGCAGGTGAAAAATCATATGAAATGAATTTCATTAATCACACCTGCTATTTTACTTCACATATGTAGACTGCTATAATTTCACAGTCAACGAAATCACGAATCACATGAATTTCATTCATTCATTCGAGCGAAGTTCGTGAGCGCAGCTCTGCGAAGCGACCGAGCGAGTAAGAAGGAATGATTTGATCATGTGCGTGTTAGAAAAGGACAAGAGATGTGATGACGGACGAAACTGGTCATTTTAAATATGAACTTTAAACTCAAAGGTGTAAGGTTTAGATTTCCTTGTCATAATTCGTGTGATTTCATTAGATAGCAGGCAGATGAAATGAATGATTTTCATTAGTCGCGCGGTTATTAATGTGCTGTGAAACTGTTTGATTTTTGTTGTGCGACATAAATGAAACAGATATTGTTACATTTCATATTTTAGCTAATTAGCAATCCTTCATCATAGCTAATTCATACTTCATTAAAAGTAGCACATTATATGAAAGAGCTACATTAAAACACTGCGAATAAAAATCATTGCCTGTGAAATTTCGCATGT